CTGGGTAGCCCTGACCCTGCCTAGCTCGTGAGACCTGCTGTGATCACAGCCTGAGGAAGCATAGCAGCCAGCTGCTAAGGGACCCGAAAAGGTTGAATCACGGAGGAGGAGGGGGGGGGGGCAGGAGAACAATTTGCCTGGGGGATTATGGGTAAAACTCTCAAAAACATCTTAGTGACTCAGGAGCTGAAGTCGCAGTGAAAGTCACTTAGGTACTTTTGGAAAAAGCCTGGGGAAAAGTGAGTCTAAGCAGGGGTAGTGTATAGAACAGTGGTCCCCAAACCTTTCATGTGGGGAGTGGGGTGCAGACAAGAGTAAGGGGGCTGAGGCTGGGGGCAGGGTTGGGACCAGGGCCAAGGCTGGGGGCGGGGCTGTGTCCAGGGCTGGGTGCAGATTCGTCGCTGGGAGCCAGGACCACGGCTAAGGGCAGAGCCGGGACAGGGTGCAGCTGGGTGGCCCCACCCAAATGTTCCTCTGTGCCTCCCCCCCACCCCAGTTTGGGGACCACTTGTATAAAGCTATTTCAAATACCCCGTTCGTGCACGAGTCCTCTTGTAAAAAGAAAAGGAGTACTTGTGGCACCTTAGAGACTAACAAATTTATTTGAGCATAAGCTTTCGTGAGCTACAGCTCACTTCATCGGATGCATTCAGTGGAATATACAGTGGGGAGATTTATATACATAGAGAACATGAAACAATGGGTGTTGCCATACACACTGTAACGAGAGTGATCACTTAAGGTGAGCTATTACCAGCAGGAGAGCGGGGGGGGGGGAGGGCTTTTGTAGTGATAATCAAGGTGAGCCATTTCCAGCAGTTGACAAGTTGACAAGAATGTGTGAGGAACAGTAAGGGGGGGGGGTAATAAACATGGGGAAATAGTTTTACTTTGTTCTCTTGTGGTGCCCACCAGAAACCACCCCAAGCAGCAGTGTGAGCGTAGCTAGGCCTGGCAGGGAGTGAGTCTATTTCCTAAACACAACTGTCAATCAACCCGGCAGTGCCCATGGGCCTTCCTTCACGTTGTTTGTGCAAAGAGCAACAGATGCACCCATTGGCAACAAGAATGGGCTCCTAACCCAAGCACGCTGGCATGGCCAGTAAGTGTAGAGGCCCTCGTGAAATGGGCAAGGGCAGTGCAGCTGCGGCGCTGGGTGTGTGAGTGAGCTCCTTGTCTGGCGGTGAAAGGGGTGACAGATGTCTGGGTGTCTGAGGCAAATGGAGCTGTCTCATAGCTCAGGAGAGTGCTGGCCCAGTGATATCAATAGATGACGCTGAAGGTCTTGCCTGGGCTTGTTAAAGCCCAATCTGCAGAGGCACGAATGGGCACAGTCCCCAGTGCCCACACCGTTTTCATGGAGAAGAACGAGTTGGAAGAAACCACAGAGAATACGCAGGCCCAGAATAGAAATAAAGGCCATTTGGGCTCCGTACAGCATTGATGGGAGAGAGCCAGGGCCGAAGGGGCAGCCATTGCCCCCTATAGGAGCAGAGGGAATGAGAGGGAGGGATCCCTGTCCCTGGGCTCATTGGTTCCTCCAAGGTCTGAATCATGCACTTAGCAAATCTCTGCAGGAGGCGGTTGGCACCCTGTAGGCAGGTCCAGGCGGCCCCTCCCTGCACTCTTCCCCCAGCCACAAGCAGCCCTGGGACAAGCTCCCAAACAACAAACTGACTTTGCTGAGACAGGAAAATCTCCCAGTGAGAACAAACGAGCAGCTCCTGAATCCCTCAGGGCAACAGGAGTAGGGAGCCAGGCTGTGTTCCCTTGTTGGGGCAGAGAGCATCCTCCTCCTTCCACCTCCTGAGCCCTGTGTGTGGGATCTGGTACAAGGGATTTCCCATGGCAGACTCTCACCTTGGCACCTGGGCTGTTCTCTTCCCCAGTCGGAGGGAGGTGCAGGTCCTGCTCTGCCTGGGATCGTTAGATAAGTCTAATTCAGTGGTTTTTCTATCCTTTGGACCTATCCTGTTGATGCACACACCCAATGCATGCATTCGCCTAAAGCAATTGACAAGGCTCCAAGAAGAGGAACCTGTTTGCTGAGCAGGAGCTGAGGACTTTTCAGGCTGGATGGAGGCTCTGAGAGAGGGGCTCTGGGTCTTGGTTTGGGGCTGTGTCAGATCATCACAAACTATAAATGCTTTCGACAAGGGTGTTAGAAACAAGCTCTTCACCTTTGCGGGTGCCACTGGAATTGGAGGCAGAGCAAATACTGAGGAACTGCGGAAGCAGATTCCCAGGGTTGCTGAGTGGACAGCAGATACCAAGTGGTGGTCACTGCAGGGGGCAGAGGTGAGAGAATTAGCCTGGGAGTAAGAACCACTCTGGGGAATGCAGATTTAAATGGTTCGGCCCAAGGATCAGGAGTGTGAGGTTAAGGTCCGAAAGCCCTCGGCCCAGAGTACAGCTGGATTGGAACAGGCAAGCTAGAGCTGGAGTCCTGTTAGCAGAGGGATCAAATACAGAACAAGAGTCATCTGGTTACTGCAGGCACCTTTTAAAATCCATCTGCAAAAATTAATCCTAATCAGTTGCTCCGATGCCATGCAGATGAGCACAGCTTGACCCCTTAGCTAGAATACTGTGTCTAGTGGAGGGCTGGAGTGGGAGACCACAGACTGATGGCATGTTTCCTCTACTCAGTCACCCTAACCCTACCTTCTCCCCGTTCCCAGCGGTGGTGAGACATTGGAGTGTGGCATCCCTCTTACACTGCAGGAGGATCTGCTCTCAACCTATAAAAACAGGGAGGCTGGTTTAGTGTGTGAAAATCTTGAAGGGCCAGCTACATTTGCAAGCTGGGTAAGTGCGGGGGAGGCAGTTGAAATGGCCAGTGCCACCCTGTAGGGTTCTGCAGCTGATCCAGGCGTTAGCACACCTGGACTGCCCAGGTTTGGAAATACCCAGACCTGGACTTGTGATCCTGTGAAGCATCACTGATTATTAATGTATGGTTTGTCATGGTAGTTTGTACTATGTGCTTTCCAAACAGACAACTAGGAATGAGCCCACCCCAAGGACCGTGCAATCTAAGGACAGACACACACCAGAAGGGAGAATGAGAAACATCAGCTAGTGTCTAGCCAAGATTTGGGCCCCATTACGCATGGGTGCACACAGTGCCTGGCACATGCTGAGAGACAATCCTTGCCCCCCAGAGCTTGCAATCTAAATGGACAAGAGAGACGAAGAGTGGGAGAAAGGAAGTGCTATTAGTGCCCTTTACCAAGGTGAAACTGAGGCACAGAGCGATTCAGGGGCCTGCCCAACATAACCCAGGGAGCCTGTGAACGCAGATCTCCTGTGTCACAAACCAGCACCTTAACCACCAGACCAGACTTCCTACCTCACCTCACCACACCCCTCAAGAACAAGATTCCCTGTAAGCCCCACGGCCCAAGTGGCACTTAACTGAGGGCAGGGGAGCGTGTACCAGGCCTAGGGCTGCATGAAGGAAGGCATCGGGCTGCTCGTGTGACTGAGTTCTCCCTACGCATCCTTTCAGCCACAAGGTACTCGGGTTGAGATTCAGAGAACAGTACGACAAGCCAGAACAAACTCCAAGTCTCCCCAGGACCAACACATGCACTGAACCTGCTCAGCTGCCTCCTTAAAGATGGCAGGGAATTTTGGAGAGTAGAGGCGCTCGCCCTGGTCTCTGGCCCGCCGTGCACGGATTGATTCTGTATGCGTCTGCGTTCCCAGGGTGCTATATGCATCCGGTTTGCCTTGGGCTGTGGAATTCTTTGTCAGGAGAGGTGGTCTTGAAGTGGGAAATACTCTTACACGCCACACCAAATGCTGGCCCTATTGAAGTCACAGGGAACTTTCCCATTGACTCCAGTGCAGCCAGGTTTTTCACCCTCTGACTTCAATGGACTTGGGATCAGGGCCCTTGTCTTGAGTTCCATGGCTACAAGTCCTGCTCTAGCGTGGCTTCAGCCTGTGGCATTCCCACCCACCCTCATGGGTGTGTTGGCTGGCCTGAGAGCACGACGTAGCACCAAATCCAGATTTCCAAATAACTTCCCCTTGACTGAACTAATGAAAAGCAGCCCAGAGGCACAGCATGAAGCACTGGAGTACTGTGTCCAGTTTTGGGCCCCACACTACAAGAAGGATGTGGAAAAATTGGAAAGCGTCCAGCGGAGGGCAACAAAAATGATTAGGGGACTGGAACACATGACTTATGAGGAGAGGCTGAGGAAACTGGGATTGTTTAGTCTGCAGAAGAGAAGAATGAGGGGGGATTTGATAGCTGCTTTCAACTACCTGAGAGGGGGTTCCAAAGAGGATGGCTCTAGACTGTTCTTAGGGGTGGCGGATGACAGAACAAGGAGTAATGGTCTCAAGTTGCAGTGGGGGAGGTTTAGGTTGGATGTTAAGAAAAACTTTTTCACTGGGAGGGTGGTGAAGCACTGGAATGGGTTACCTAGGGAGGTGGTGGAATCTCCTTCCCTAGAAGTTTTTAAGGTCAGGCTTGACAAAGCCCTGGCTGGGATGGTTAGTTGAGGATTGGTCCTGCTTTGAGCAGGGGATTGGACTAAATGATCTCCTCAGGTCCCTTCCAACACTGATATCCTATGATTCTAAGCAGTCCGTTACTAAGCATGAGGTTCAGTGATCACTCGGGCCCAGGTCCTCACAGGTATTTAGGCACCCAACTCCCATTGATTTTGTGGCAATTGGACATCAAAGTAACTTTGAGTATCTGAGCCTCCATGGGGCCATGTAAGGTGTTTGCAAGAGCTCTGCTTTATCCTGAGTCCGGTGGGATGCCTGCTACCAACAGGCTGGGCATAACACGAGTGCCACAGTGCCCCACTCAGACTCTGCGCCCGACCAGTCTGGGAAGCTCAGCCCTTAAAGGCACAATGCCCACTCTAAATGCCTGATGAGCCTGAACTGGCTTTGGTGGGTTGGACGTCACGCAGCAGCGACTCATAGATGATCGGTGGAGCGACCTTGCTCCATATAAACAGCTGCAAACTCCGTGATTGAATACAAGTTTTATTGAACAAGCACAGAAGTCTCACATCAAAAATCCACCCAGCTGGGCAGCGCATACTCACACCCTTCACTGGAGATGATCCTGCATTTCAGCCTGTCTGTACCTACCAACAGTCTTGGTGCTATTATGATACACAGAATATACAAGTTTCAGAGTAGCAGCCGTGTTAGTCTGTATTCGCAAAAAGAAAAGAAGTACTTGTGGCACCTTAGAGACTAACCAATTTATTTGAGCATAAGCTTTCGTGAGCTACAGCTCAATTCATCGGACGCATTCAGTATACAAGTAATTACACAGATGGAAGTTGGGTCTCTAGCCTGCCTGCCCAGAATCTACAAGTATCTTACACCTAGCATGGGATGAGCCAGTGAGCCTTGATTCAGTGCTAGAGGTTCAAAATCTGCATTCAGTTACACCTGTGCAACCCCACAGCCTTCAAGGTGTAATTGGGGGCAGAAATGGGCTATGTAATTGAGATCTAAGCCTTGGCTATGGTGGGATTTTAGCCACCAGAGCATGTGTACCAGTGTAGACCCCTAGTGTAAGGCATGATGTGCAGCTGAAGCAGCGTTTGTACTGGGACAACAAACCCCAAGACAAACCCCACTGGTGTAAATTGTGTCTACACCAGAGGTTTTGCATAACTGCAGCTCTACTGCTGGCTGAAATCCCAGCGCAGACAAGGCCTTTGTTAACAACACTGGTCTTAGTGATGCATAAACCAGGAAGGAATCCAGCTCGCACACTCTCAGATTCGGTGACTCAGCATGGTTGATAGGAATGAAGCATATTTTGTTTCTGAAGCTCTGACTGAGCCAGATGGCAGGTGGATCTGCAAGTCAGAAGATGCTGTTTCCACTGAGTCACTTTCAGCCAGGGAAAGTCAGCTGTTAAGTGTTTCTGGGGAGAAACAGTCATTGAAAACTGTCTCCTGCAAACGCTTTTGTTCGGCACAGGCTCTGTATCCTCTCCATCCCCTTCCACGAAACCTACAGCTTGGCCCTAACAACTTTTTCTTTCCCTTTAAAAACCAACCCCACCTCGAATGGCATCTAAAACCAGCATTTCTTCTTTCCTGTCCATTAGCAACCAGCTATGCCAGCTCCGAGCTGGATCACCAGAGCAGCAAACACTGAGGAGGGGATGTTAACCCAGAATCCTGGTAGCATCAAGCCCTTTCTGACAGGTGTGGTGTAAACCGTACGTCAGTGAAGAGGAGAGGTGCAGAATTAGATGGGTGCGAGAGGCCCTCGCAGGGTTGCTTTGGGCTTGTCTATATGGCTCGTGCACCCATTTAACTAAGCTGATTTAGAAGCTAATTTAGTTCCATCGGTGCCCCACACACACACACACACACACACACACACACACCGCCATAGACACTCAAGTCTGTTTCAGAGGGTCTCAAACCAGTTTCATTTAAGTAGACTACAAACCGACTTCAGCTAACAGAGTTAAGACCCTCTTACACAGATTTACTGGTGGCGCCCGCAGAGTTGTATTGGATTAAAATCCCACCTTCTGTGAAAGCAGAATGTGTCTGTGCGTGGCTCAGGCCCAGCTCTAAATACCTGCAGGCTGTCTCAGACCTACCTGTGGAGTGGGGCAGGAAGAGCAAAGAAAGGCGAACCTGATCCACTGACCTACATTCCCCTCCTGCGGTGAGCACCCTCTGCTGCCAGCACACTCCCTGGTCTCTTTTCCTCCCTCTGGCTCTGTGTTGAGACAACATGCAGCTTGCTGTACTGCACAGAGGCGGATGCCCTGGACCCAGGTGACCTAGTGGGAGAAGGACCTGGATTCAGACCCACACTGGACTGTCACATCCTGGCTACGGGGACACCAAGGTGGTGTGGCACAGCCCTGTGTGCAGATTTGATGCACTGTGGCACATTCCCCTCACACCGCTATGATGTGGCTATGCGTGTGTCACATCATCTCAAGGCGTCGTCGTCGTCATGTGTTTTGTGATGGCCTGCTCCAAAGCTGGTGCTGCCTGGATCAGACACAATCTGCTCAGTCCTAACAGGGCAGACCCATGTTCCCTGGCCCAGCTCCTTCCCCCGGGTAGGAGGCTGAATGCAGCATGCTGACTGCTGAGTCCTTTCCACGTGTGGGGTGGCTGTGCGGGGGGAGAGAAATGACTCCTCTGACTGCTCCCCCCAGGCTTTACCCCCTCCAGGATCTGACGGGTGAGTTTCACAGCATGTAAGGGCCTCTCCCTACCCCCACCCCTGAGGAAGGCACCAGCACGCTGAGGATGGGGTGGGGAGCCCCGTTCTGCTCTCTCTGGAGACCTCCGCACAGTTTGCTGCCTCCTCCTATGGCTCTGACTCCATGATGGGGTGGGGGGGTGCATTGGAGGTGCCCCCCGGGCTCTTCCACCCCACAGGGGACGATGACTGTTGTGCAGCTACGGGGGCAGCCCTCCAAAGGCAAAACCCAATGGGAACGGAATCAGGGCATCGCCCCGTAAGTCAAGGGGAGCAGTTGTCCTGGCCACCATCCACAGGCCTGGCAGCCGTCACAGCACCCGTAACCTGCTGAGACTGGTGGGTTTGCAAGGCAGGAACAGCGATGGGATCAAAGCCTCGACCGGGTTTGTTGTAGCTGGGCCGTGCAGGGCAGTGACATCAAGACAGTCTGCAATGGGATCATCCAATGGGAGGAGGGTTTAAACACAGGCCTCTTCCCCTCACAGTTCAAGCCGGAAGGCCCCAAAGTAACTGGCCGCTGTATCATCGTAATCAATGGCCAGGGACGAGACGGAGACGAAAAGCTCGTCACCGGCCTTGAGCTCGAAGAGGCCGCCCTGGTAGAGGGCGTGCAGGCCATAGTCTGCCTCGGGTGCCCAGCACTTAGTGCCGACGCCCTTCAGCAGCAGGATGGGCTGCCCATAGGAGGTCTCGCGGTTGATGCACTGCACCAGCTGGTGCCCCGAGACGTGGGCTGTGACGCCCTCGCTGGGGTAGCGGAAGTAGATCTGTGAGTAGATGTAGTACTTGCCCGCATGGCTCACCCGCAGCTTGCCGTCCCGGTAGGTGATGTTCTGGAGGTGCGAGTGCATGGTCTTGTCCTCCCACCTGGTGATGGGGTGTCGGCAGGACTGGGAGAGCTCCCCAAAGTGTGCTGAGCTTCCTAGGGGAGAACGCAGGCAGAGGTCACTGCGGGGCCAATGGGAGCAAATAGCATCCTATGCTTGGGCATCAACCTAGCTGATGGGCATCAGGTATAGATAATAAACAGAGATTGAACGTAACATAAGAACATAAAAATGGCTCTACTGGGTCGGACCAAAGGTCCATCTAGCCCAGTATCCTGTCTTCCGCCAGTGGCCAATGCCAGGTGCCCCAGAGGGAATGAACAGAACAGGTAATCATCAAGTGATCCATCCCTGTCGCCCATTTCCAGCTTCTGGCAAACAGAGGCTAGGGACACCATCCCTGCCCATCCTGGCTAATAGCCATTGATGGACCTGTCCTCCATGAATGTATCTTGTTCTTTTTTGAACCTTGTTATGGTCTTGGCCTTCACAGTATCCTCTGGCAAAGAGTTCCACAGGTTGACTGTGCGTTGTGTGAAGAAATACTTCCTTTTATTTGTTTTAAACCTGCTGCCTGTTAATTTCATTTGGTGACCCCTAGTTCTTGTGTTATGAGAAGCAGTAAACAACACTTCCTTCTCTACTTTCTCTACACCAGTCATGATTTTATAGACCTCAATCATATCTCCCCTTAGCCATCTCTTTTCCAAGCTGAAAAGTCCCAGTCTTATTAATCTCTCCTCATACGGAAGCCATTCCAGACCCCTAATCATTTTTGTTGCCCTTTTGTGAACCTTTTCCAATTCCAATGGCCTGAGACAGAAACAAAGTCAGGATCCAACCCAGATCAGGGGGTGGGGGGATGAGGGAGGGAACTGCCCAAAACCTGAAGCTCCACAGCGGATGTGGCGTTGCCAAGAAAATTTTCTACATCCCTTCCCTCACTGCCAAAATCCACAAGCCTGTCTTCTAATATCAGCCACCAGGCTAAGGCTTCCCCATTCCTGTGCCCTCCCTCTTGCCCCCAGGCTCCCATGGCTCTGGGCACCACTGGCATCCCATTGGGAACCCAGACTCACCGTCCTGGGAAGGGGTCTGCTGCCGGAGGGTGAGGTGGGCAGAGGGCTTGCCAGGTGCTCTTGTAGCCAGCTGCCCACTGGAGCTGTTGAAATAGCTCCTCGTGGCTTCTGTGGTGAAAGGAAAGGAACAAGGATCTGCAAAGGCTGTAAAGTGTGTGTGTGTGTGTGTGTGTGTCTCTCTCACAGACACTCATACACACCATGGCAATGCTCAGCACCTCAGTGCTGTGAAGCCAGCATGGTGAGACTTGCTCTTACTAGTAGGCATTTACGGGGAGGTGAAAGGCATTTGTGAGCCCTGAGTTCAGGATTCCATGTTCCTCCTGCCACAGATCCCTTAGCCCTAAAGGAGAGGAAGGAATGCAGCCCTGGCCATGTGTGTGTTGGGGAGGCATGCTGTCGGGGCCATTTAAACCCAAGAATGAAGGCTGGTGTTTGGAATGGAGCCTCAGGGAGTTGGCCACCCACCCTCCTTTGCAATTTCCTGGCATTTAAACACCAAACTCTGTCTGCACCTTTGACAAGCCCACCCTGGTTTTTGCAAAAAGAATGTTTCTATAAGAACATAAGAACAGCCATACTGGGTCAGACCAATGGTCCATCTAGCCCAGTGTCCTGTCTTCCCACAGTGGCCAATGCCAGGTGCTTCAGAGGGAATGAACAGAACAGGCAATCACCAAGTGATCCACCCCCTGTCGCCCATTCCCAGCTTCTGGCAAACAGAGGCTAGGGACACAGAGCATGGGATCACATTCCCGGTCATCTTGGCTAATAGTCATTGATGGACCTATCCTCCATGAACTTATCTATTCTTTTTTTGTTCACTTTTTTGACTGCAGCTGCACATTGGGCGGATGTTTTCAGAGAACGACCCACAATGACTCCAAAATCTCTTTCTTGAGTGGTAACAGCTAATTTAGACCCCATCATTGTATCTGTATAGTTTTGGCCTTCCCAACGTCCCCTGGGAACAAGTTCCACACTGTGCATTGTGTGAAGTACTTCTTCTTTTTGTTTGTTTTTAAACCCACTGCCTATTCATTTCATTGGGTGACCCCTGGTTCTTGTGTTATGGGAAGGAGTAAATAACACTCCCTTATTCACTATCTCCACACTGCTCATGATTTTATAGACCTCGATCACGTCTCCTTTCCAAGCTGAAAAGTCCCAGGCTTTTTAATCTCTCCTCATACGGCAGCTGTTCCATCCCCCTCATCATTTTTGTTGCCCCTCTCTGTACCTTTTCTAATTCTAATATATCCTTTTTGAGATGGGGCAATCAGAACTGCACGCAGTATTCAAGGTGTGGGCGTACCATGGATTTATATTATACATTATGATATTTTCTGTCTTATCGATCCCTTTCGTAATGGTTCCTGGCATTCTGTTCACTTTTTTGACTGCTGCTGCACATTGAGTAGATGTTTTCAGAGAACGACCCGCAATGACTCCAGGATCTCTTTCTTGAGTGGTAACAGCTAATTTAGACCCCATCATTTTGTATGTATAATTGGAATTTATGTTTTCCATGTGCATTACTTTATCAACACTGAATTTCATCTGCCATTTTGTACCCAGTCACCCAGTTTTGTGAGATCTCTTGGTAATTCTTCACAGCCTGCTTTGTATACAACTATCTTGAGTAATTTTGCATCGTCTGCAAATTTTGTCACCTCACTGTTTACCCCTTTTTCCAGATCATGTATGAATATGTTGAACAGCACTGGTCCAGTACAGACCCCTGGGGGACATCCCTATTTACCTCTCTCCATTCTGAAAAGTGACCATTTATTCCTACCCTTGCTACTCTGAAACCTGTCTTTTAACTGGTTACTGATCCAGGAGAGGACCTTCCCTCTTATCCCATTACCTCCTACTTTCCTTAAGAGCTTTTGGAGAGGGACCTTCAAACACTTTCTGAAAGTCCAAGTATACCATGCGCACTGGATCACCCTTGTTCACATGTTTGTTGACCCGACCCCCACAAAGAATTCTAGTAGATTGCTGAGGCATGATTTCCTTTTACAAAAGCCATGTTGACTCTTCCCCAACAAATTGTGTTCATCTACGTGTCTGATAATTCTATTCTTTACTACAGTTTCAACCAGTTTGCCTGGTTCTGAAGTTGGGCTTGCCGGCCTGTAATTGCCAGGATTGCCTCTGGTGCCTTTTTTTAAAAATTGGTGTCACGTTAGCTATTCTCCAGTCACCTGGTACAGAAGCTGATTTAAGTGGTAGGTTACATACCACAGTTAGTAGTTCTGCAATTTCATATTTGAGTTCCTTCAGAACTCTTGGGTGAATAGGGTCTCGTCCTGGTGACTTAACACAACAGCCCCAATTCTCCTCTCCCTAACACTGCTTTCATCCTGCTGTGATAGCAGTGGAGATGCTGCTGCTGGTTTGCTTTGTGGTGAGCCAGCACAGCTCTGTGCCAATGCACCCCCACCAGGAAGTGAAACTGACCAACCCCCCGACCAGTCTAGTTTCACTATCCTCTGGCTGTGTGTATAAATCCAAACGTTACACGCACAGGCAGGTGAACGTGTAAAAGGCCGTCTGCTCTGTCACAGGCTGCTTTGGAAAATCGAGCCCTTTCCATCAAATTTAACAGGGACCCAAGCTGGCCCGATGAGTGAGATCTTCCCACATTTAAAAGTAAATGTAGCCATTTAAGTGAATGTAGCCATTTCTACCCCCTGTACAGAAGGGCATTTGCTCTGCTCCCTCCTGCCAGGGGCCGGAAACTCACCCTTCAGTGCGCTCCTGCGGATAACGTTCTCTGTCACCTGGAAGGCAAGAGGTCAGGTCAGTGAGTAAACAGGAGACTTTCCCCTGCTCCCTTAAGTCCTGTTGCCTCTTCCAGGCCACCCACATCTGTCATTTCTTCTAGTTATGTCATCAAGCTCAATCAGACTGTACGTCCCTCCTGGCAGGGTAAAGCACCAGGCACACCCTGCTGCCGCCCCTCTGCTTTGCTCTTCCACTGTCCACCTGGAGAGCTCAAAGACTGATAAGCGGAGCCTAAGAATCCCCCTCCCCTTGAGGTGGGTATTACAGATGGGGAAACTGAGGCACATTTGCAGCATCTGCACTATGAAATTGACCCATTGCTGGCACTGGAATTGGCATTGGACATGGTTTGATGGCAAGTGCAGACAAGGACAGACCATGTCCAGCACCATCTCAGAAACCATGGCAGAGCCCTGTTCAGAGCAAGGTTTCTATCTGTGCCCATCCCCTTTAACCTCATTCAGTTCTGGTTCGGCCACACCCTTAGCTGACTCTCATTGGCAGTACCAGATAACCCTGCCAGGGCAGGCAAGGGTGGGAATGAAAGAGGGAGCTGAATTAATTCCCTGGCCTCTCTACCAAGAGGGCCAACAAAGGCGTTCCCATTGATAGAGTGGCTTCTGTGATGTCGTCCATGAGATCCTAGATGGAGACCCACCAACTCATTTCACATGGGCCACCAACAGCCACCAGATGGTACCAACTCTGAGTCCCTCCTGACCAGGGAACTGATTGGAGTTAGCAACCAACAGGGACTGGCCCAAGACCTTCTGCTGGAATGTCACCCTTTGTGGTGTTCTAGGGTCTTCCTTGGCAAGTGCCTACCTCCCATTTCCCTTCCCTCCCCCCCACCCAGTGTGTGGTTTGTTGTGGACTCACCATAGTCACATAGGATTTGATGCTGCTGGCCAGCTTGAGACAGGACTGGTTGCCAATCAGCTCCTCCAAGTCTGAGACTTCCTGCAATCTGTTGATCAGCTGCAAACACTTCAGCTCCTCTGAGCTCCCCTGCATCTGGGCTTTTAACTGGAAAATAATAAGATGAGTTGAATTGATTAAATGAAGTGGCCTCTTGAGCGTACAAAGGACTGCATGCATGGCTGAGCTGTAGGGTGCAGAGGGAGGCCTCGGCTGATGTGATCCAGGCCTATGTAAACATGGACTGTTGCTCTTCTTTTTGATACTCATCCAGAGTTAAGCCCTGTGCTGGGGTTGGATGCAGGAACTGAGAGTAAGCCTGCGCTTCTCTGATCACAGTGCCGGAGGGGCTGAGACCTTGTGATGTGAATATGATTCCCAGGTATTAACCAGCCAGTGGACGAGTCATGAGACCTGGATTCAATCCCTGAGCTCTGCCACTGACTTGCTGTGCAACCTCAGACAAGTCATATCCCCTGTGTGGGCCTCAGGACCCCTTGCTAGCTTCAGCAAAGCACTGGGAGACCTACGCATGATGAATGCTATTGAAGTACAGTTCCTGGAATAGACTCCTGCACTGCTTGGTGCATTAGCGATTGATAGCTGAGCAGTGTTGCTATCTCATGCAGTTTTATTGTTAGTCTTGTGATATTTGATGTCTTGATTGAACCTCCAGCTCCTGAAGTCATGTGAAAACGTGAATCTGTCAATCTGGGGAATCTGTGTACAATTTATGAATTCTAGCTTGATTTTATGAATTGTCTCTAGCCTTTTGACTGTCATCTTCTGTGCGCTGCCTCATGCTCCTTGTGCTAAGGGGAGGTGAGTGGCACCACAAATCTGTCTTTGAAAGATGTTGTTGTAGCCATGTTGGTCTCTGGATCTTAGAGACATAAGGTGGGTGAGGTAACGTCTTTTATGGGACCAACTTTTGTTGGTGAGAGAGACAGGCTTTCGCGCTTACACAGAACTCTTCAGGTCTTCTTCAGCTCTGTGCAAGCTTGAAAGCTTGATTCTCTCACCAACAGAAGTTGGTCTGATAAATCATATTACCTCCCGCACCTTGTCTTTGAAAGACACAGTCATTCAAAGCTACCAACTAGTAAATAGATATAGCCCAGATAGAACAATGAGGCACCTGGGGGAAGCCGATTTTCTCCAACTTCTCTGCAGTGGGCTGGGGTTTGGAGTAGTGGAATTTATCCAGCAGCAGCACCAGGTGTTGGAAGTAGGACATCTAAACTCAGGGGACACAGAAACACCCAAGAAGCTGAGGCAGGAGAAAGGAAGTGCTTTTGTAGCAGGAGGATCTGTTTAACTCACTGCAGGACCAGCCAAAGTTAAGAGAAACTGATTTGGAGGAGAGAGAGACTCCATGATCCAGAGGAGAGGCTGTGAGCTGCAGAAGGATCCTGGACATCCCAAAGAGCTCTGCCCTGAGCCCAGAAAATGCTCAAGCATGGTGTAGAAATGGAGGCAGGGAAATGTGCATGGGTGTTTTTTATTTTGCCTGGATCTGTGTATTTTTTTGTGCTAGTTAAAGTAAAGAGTGACTGTGTTTAGAAACCCTTTCGAAACCTGTCTGTCTGCTGTCACTGCTTGTGTCCCTGAAGAGGTAGCTGTAAAGCCAGGGTCCCATAAAGGTGATGCTCAGGGAGAGAGCGTGCTTACACCCCTGGGTGTCAGTGTTGGTCCGGAGGGCCTACAGCAGATGGGTTGCATGGTTTCATTTCTGTAGAGGTAACACACCTAGACCCTGTGCCTAGGAAATGTGCCAAAGAAGCCCAGGAGAGACAGTGCTGGAGGACGGCCCAAGGGAAGGGACATGTGTCTAGTGTGGTGGGACCCAAACACAGCAACCTGGTATGTGTCCAGCTGGGGCAGCCCTACTAGGGCTGTGTGTGACCGTGAGAATCTGAGCTTTCATTTGGGGAGGGGAGACACCTGCTAAGTTTCTAGCTCTCCTCATTGCGGGGAAAACATTGAAAACGTGACTCCCATGTAACCTAAAGGCTCTGGAGATAAAGATCCCCATAGCTATTGTTTTTTAAATCTGATTTTTATCCCCTCTTGTTATTGCGAGGGGATTTGATTCAGGGTTTTTGACCCCCTAGGGCTGCTGGCTTAGATACATGAGAGGGTGGGGAGAAAGAGTGGGTGTTTCTGTTAAGCTAATGGCAGAGCTGAGATTGTCAGAGGCAGTTTCATGCCGTGTTGTAGCAGTGTTGGTCCCAGGATGTCAGAGAGACAAGGTGGATGAAGTCATATCTTTCATTGGACCAACTTCTATTGGTGAGAGGGACAAGCTTTTGAGCTTACACGGAGCTCTTCTTCAGGGGGTTTCAGTCAGGTCTCTTGCTCAGATTGCAAGCCAAGTCCCAGCGATCAAACCTAGGACACCTGGCTTCTGGCTTGTCCATCAGCAAAACCCAGCCTTCAGCCCGTGATGCCTCATCCTGGGTTGGTAACCATGTACCTCTGTTACAAATGTGCGTATCAACAGTCACACAATGCTGCTAGACAAAGCTGCCTGCAGGCCATGTTACCGTGGCTGTGTGAAGACGCTGGTTTAACAGCCCGGGAGACCAGAGCCTTCCATCCACAGAACAGGTAGAGGACAGGTAATGACAAGGCGAGCTTCCTGCCTCATCTCTGCCCTGGAGGGATCCCTTGTGAACAGGCCTGATCAGCTGCTGGAATTAACTGTTCTCCCACAGCATTTCCCACTGTCTTGGAATCATTTTATTTCCATGCTCAGTAGGAACAGTGGCAAATGCTTTCATGCTCGGAAGACAAGCTGGGACTTGGCTCCCTGCTGGAGAAACTCCTGGGGCTAAGCTTCCCATCACTTATGGCCTGAACCTGCTAGGCGCTGAGCACCTTCAACATCCACTGTCATCACTGGGAGTCAAGCATGCTCAGCACCTGGCAGGATCTGACTCTTTGAGCTCTCTTTCTCATCTGCACAGGGCTCTTTCTTCTACTCCAGATCCTCCTGCTTGGCAGCCCGAGCCCAGTGTAGTAGGAGCTGGGTGCTCCTTCTGGGCCCACTCTCTTCACAAACCCCAGCCCCTGCCTCAATCCGCCCCTGGTAAATATCTGCATCAACCCACGGGAGATGAACTGAACCATTTCCAGCTGAACACTGCTGCTAGCTCTGCCCTCCTAAGACCAGACGTGGTGGGTGGCGATTTGCTGACATGGACGATGGCTGTGACGAATGAGACCTCACTCCATTGTCGCAGTGAGGTGCTTGTGCTTGGAGTGTCCGTGGAACTAGTGCTGAGGACTGATCACCCTGCAGGTGAAGGTCCCCACAGTGAACGCGGCCCATGTTCCATCAGCAAGAGGTAACGCAGCAAGCAAGCAGTGCTGTGGGCAAGACAGCTTTAGTTAGCAAGCTGAGAGGCCTGTGCTACATGCTGAGATTCTAGAGCTCGATGTAGCAGCCTGGCCCTGCGCTGCATGCCTGAGTCCCATCGTCCCTCCAGAAAGTCTCCAGGGTCAGCTCAGTCCTTGCTCAAGGCTGAGGCTGCCAGTTTAGTGCCACTTTGTGGTGCAGGACCTGGCCTGAGGCCCTGAGTTATTTCTCATGGGCCTCAGAGGGTCGATGTTTGTGGTTACTCCACGGCTGTGCTGAATTTGAATCAGTGACCTAGAGGCAAGAGGCCCTACAGCCTAATTCTAAACCCCAGCAGCATCCCAGCCTGCACCTTCTTGTTAGCCAAAGTGTGCAATGGATGTTCCCGCCGGTGCAGAATCGCAGGCCCTGCAGCACTGTGTCCTTGGGGAACAGGTGCCCCCAGCGCTGCAGAGAGGGCTGCCCGTGCTTGGGGAGGGCACAGATTTAGTGTGTCTTGCGAAGGAAATAAAGGAGAAAAGCTGGATTGTAGCACGGTTTGGAGCCTAGAGCTGTGCCGAGGCTGAAATGCCTGTACATCCTGGCTCGTTGCATGGGATGGGCCGCTCTCCCATTGCCTTATTCCCACCAGAGAATTAGGTCAGGCATTGTGAAATTGGCTCAATCTGTAATAAACACCCAGGCCTAGCCTCCCCTCCATCTGGTTAGATCTGCGGTGTCATGTTATTGTCTCCGCACTCAGCATGACTCACCAGCCCAGACAAACAATCATGCTGGGGAGAGGTACTTGGCTCACAGCCCTGGAGAATGGAGTCCTCTAGCTGCAGGGCAGGGGTGGCCACCCAGCAGGCCAAGTGTCCCTTTCACTGCCAGTCTGCCTCAACCCCGACCTGCAGGGATCCCCCACTACTGGAGAGAGGGGAGCTGGGTCACAGGAACAATCAGCCCTTGGCCTCCCTGCTCAGACTGCCAACCAGGGAGCCTGCTGAGGGGTGGTTTGAAACTGGGCTGGGGCCTGCCCTGCTCCCCAGTTCATTACACATGGGAAACCAAACAGCTGGAGAATTAAAATACTGTACCCAGGAAGCACAGTCCTTCGGGCAGCCCCTAGGGATAGTTACCCACCTAGGCAGCAGTTCAGTGCCCAGTCCTTGCTGGCTTTCCCCCAGGCTGAATCGTTTGTCTCACTCTAATCCTGTAGGAAGTGGGAGGGTTTCACTGTTTCTGTGCCCTTTGTCTAGCTGCTGGGTCTCGCTTCTCACTGTGAACTCACAGGGGCAGGGGACTGCAGTGACATCTCCTTCAGAGCGGAGAGACTCTAGTAGCTGGCTCAGACTAAGGTCTGGCCTCCAGTGAAAAGTTAATATGGGCACACCCCTGACCAATTTAGTTATGCCACCACGACCCCCAGAGTAGATGCAGCTGTGATGAAAGAAGAATGTTTCCATCAACACTGGTAACTTCATCTGGGGAGGCGGTGTTTCTACGCTGCCAGGAAAACTCCCATTGGTGTAGGCTGCATCTATGCTATGGGGCTATGCCAGCATCGCTCTGTGGAAGTCTCTGAAGTGTAGATGCACCCTAAGGACTCCTGAATAAGTAGTACATTAGGATGTAATTATCCAGCTCTTGTACACTGCTAAAATATTGAGTAATTCCCCAAAACCTACTGAAGAAGGTTGAATAGACTCAGCACTTTTCTGTAAACACATCTTTATCCCATGGCATGTGTCCCACTACCTGTCTAGTACATTTCATACAACCCTAGGAAATGGAAACTTCATGTATCCCGGGGCAGGAAAAGGACACCAGCTTCTGGGAAAATGAAACAAAGCAAGTTCAAAACCCTTCCCACGCCATTTCAAAACCGCTCTGTGCAGCTGCCACAGGGCATATTGGCCAGAACTGTCTCATTCTTTCCTTGGGCAACCCCCAGCTGTCGGTTCTTGTATCCACCTGTTGTCTCTCATCTTAGATTATAAACTCTTTGGGGCAGGGACATTCTTTGGGTGCTGTGTTTGTGTATAGCACCTAGCAGGATGGGGCCTGTAATAATAGTAAATAATAATTCTCCCCTTCTCTGCCAACATACTCACTGATCATCACCACTCTTCTCTAAAAAAAAACAACAAACCCAACCCTGGTTTAAGATGGATGGATTCTGATTTCACTAATGCTGCTTTTACATCACTGAACTCCAGCCCTTAGTTTGTAATGAGAGCGGCACCGGGGCTCCAGCCATTTACTTTCATAACTCATGTAGCAAGTCCAGAGATGCTGGGGCCATGAACTGCCAGGCCCAGAAGTGTTGGGGCTCTGAACTGCCAAGGCTTAATGTGCCAGGGCCTTGAACAGCCAGGCCCAGAGGTGCCGGGGCTCTGAACTGCCAGGCCCAGAGGTGCCGGGGCTCTGAACTGCCAAGGCCAGACGTGCCGGGGCTCTGAACTGCCAAGGCCCAGAGGTGCTGGGGCTCTGAACTGCCAAGCTTAGAGGTGCTGGGGCTCAGCCCTGTCAAGCCCCGGCACAAATAAAGCTCTCTTGAACTCCATTGCCTTCCAATGCCTAGAAGAAATCTGCCAGCTAATGATAGCATGAGAGAAAGCTGGAGATAGCTAACACTGATTTTCTATGTTTATGATAATAATCCACCCGTGCGAATGTATATCTCCCTATAACATTGTACATATTTGTCTGTGTCCCTCTCTCCTCACCCTTTCTATGTAACTTGGACACCGTGTCCCTGAGGCTGTAAGCTGTCCCGCACAGACAGGTTTCTGGGCCAGCACGAAGTGCCAGTAAAGTAGACAGTGCTCAGCATGGGCAGAGGGGTCTTCCTGTATTGGGCAGCTTGCGGGATTAGGGTCTTGGATTGTAAACTGCTTGGACCAGCTCCTAGCACTGTGGAGTTCAACTTTTGATTGGGTGTACTGGATGCTACTCAAATAAACCTGTGGAACAGTACTGACGCTCCTGATGGCAGAGGAGCTCAACGTTTGCGCAGCCCAAAGTGTACATGCCAGATTTGGGGGTAATGTTTTACCCAAGGTAATTGGGACAATTCCCAGTGGAGCTGAAGGCCCCATTGACTTTCAGTGAGACTTAGGGCTCCTGAGTGCCGAGAGTTCAGGTGCCTAGTGGAAGCCACAAAAATGCCTAAGCCGCGTAACCAAGGGGAGTTAGGCCCCTCCCCCGCTGAGGCACCTACATTTGTCAATCTGGTCCTAAATCACTTTTGAAAATGGGACTTAGACTCCTTAGTCACTTGGATGCTTTTGAAAATTGTACCCAACCGCCCTAAATGTTTGCTCACGACTCCAACCCGATTTTCCACCACCTGTTAATGGTTACTGGCAACTGGGTTTAGACATGGGGCGGGAACAAGTGCAATGGGTTCTCCAGCTCTCCTGCTACCAGGAGCTTTTTAATGGGGTGTGAAGAGCAGCAGCAGCTCAGCATTTTAAATCATGCAGCGGGATCTCTACAGGCGAGCATCTGATGGGCAGCTGAATCTGAGAAAAGCCGGGTTTTGACGGGTTTTTAAAGTGTTGCCTGCACTGAGACAGACGTACTGCTTGAAGCCGCGTTGTTTATGCCCTCCAACTCCCAGTGAAGGCACTGAGAGTCTTGGGTGCGCAGGCAGTTCAGGGTCTGGCTCTTAAGGCCTCACCCAGTTCTCGTTAAAAAGCACATGTTTTGCAATGCCAGATCAGATCACTGGCTCATATGGTGCCGTAGCCTGACTCCTGACATTGCAGATCACAACACGGACCCACATAGGGTCTGATCTGAAGCCTAACTGGGTCAACAGGAATCTTTCCATTGACTTTAATGGATTAGGCCCTGAGTCCAGCAGCCTGAGTCTTGACATACCAGCTCAGGGTACTGACTCCAGCAGTGGCCAATACCTGATGCACTGAAGAAGGCAACCCCCCTCCCTCCCCAATACCACCATATATAGGCAATTGCGCAATGATGTTTGTGGGAAGGGGGAAATTCTTCCCTGGCCCCTGCTGGGATAAACTGGAGCCTGGCACCCAGAAGCATGAGATTGAATTACTCCTTATCTTGGTCACTTAGCCATAAACCTTTGTTTTCTTCCTGGTAAAACTCTGCTCTCTCGCTAGGCTTTTCTGGGGTCTTCATCACCAAGCACCAAACGCCCAACGAAAGAGCTCCATTCCCCATCTTTTCCTGATTTAGCCTATTGTTGTTTAACAGGAGGTAATTTTCCTCCCTCTCCCGCTCTGCCCAGGGGGAATAAGACTGGGTCATTCCTCAGTCATTGTTATCAGCAAAGCCATGCATTCTACAAAATAGGTAGATTCCTCCAGATCTGTGTTGGTCCAGACACACACACACACCCCCTTCACTCGGTGGGGTTTGCCTATTCCTCAATTTGGTAAGGCAGTAATGGATGCAAAAAACCCAAAATCTCATATTTAAAAGGGAAAAATATTTTGTGCCTGCGTGTACAAAATGTCCTGGTTCCAGCGGGGCTGGCGTGTGCCACAAGGCAAAGCAGCAAAGGGGGCACCTCGCTCCCCGTTTAGTACCCATCTGAACGGGGTTGGATCAGGCACACTGCAGCTCAGAGCCAGGCAGAGACCTGCGCCGCAGGGACCGGGCGCGAGAACAATAGTTTCGGGTTTGATCGTTATTCAAACACCTGGCGTTTTCCTCTAAAGGTGGAAACGCTTTCAGTTTCTTGTAAAGCTGCAGTCGCTTTATTGGCATCGCTCAAATCACGGCTGGGGTAATTAGGGAGCCCGCCCAGCCACCGGGGGAAAGGGTTGCCACATGCACAAACAAAACCAGGAGCTTTGACTACAAGATCCCGTTGCTAAAACTGCGCAGAACTTCGGCCGGAGAGGGAGACCATTCCAATCAAGGCAGCCCTGAGCTTTCAGGGGGCTTGTTTCTCTCAGAATTACACCCAAGCCTTTAAGTGAAGCTGCACTGCTCACCTGAAATGATAGTTTTGCACTGATCAAGGAAGCGATTAGTCACAGTTTCAAAGCCTCCTACAGAAGCTCAATGATCCAGTCCAACGGGGGAGGGGAAGGGGGAGAGAGAGAAAGGCAATGTGTAGCAAGGGGTTGGAGGCTAGTTCACATGATCTGCACCACTGCAACGAATGCATGAGCAGAAGGAGACCTCTGGAAATAAAATCCTCCTGGACTGTGCCCGTAGTTTTCTTAAGCAAAATCGTATTTTTGAATTTAAAATCACCCTGAAAAGAAACCAAAGGTGGCACCCGAAGGAGTTTGCAGTTCGCAGCTCTTGTTGCTAGTTCATCGGAATCTCCCCGAAAGTGGGTTTAAAAGCTGAAATGCACAAAGATCTCGCCTCCCCCCGCTCACCCCTCTGCAAACCAGAGTGAGAGAGTTTCGGTGCTACTACTTCTGCCCTGGCCTCACCTTGGAAATAGACATGGTGAAATATACGAAGAGCCCCGTGGTAGAGGCGATCTGCAGAGCCAGGATGGACATCACAGCCATGGCGATCCACACGGGGCTGCAATGCTTCTTCCTCCTCTTCCCAGAGCCTGGCTCGTCCTTGTGCCCTGCTCCGGACCCCATCATGCATGCTGAGGAGTCGCTGCTATCCGATCGGAAATACTGCTGGTTATTCTGCTGCTGGTGGTCCATTGCATTATATAAATATCCCAGAGGCCAGAGCCCTGGTTTTACTTCCCCTCTGAGCCCCTTCTGTGTTTCTCGGATCCTCCTCCCACCTTCCCTTCCTCACACACGCACACAAGGAAGCAAGTTTAGAGAAAAGTTCTTGCCTCGAGAGAAGACTTTGTTGTGTGTGTGTGTGTGTGTGGGAGGGAGGGACAGACAGAGCTAAACAGCTCCAGTCTCTTTCCAGGCGGTATTTGATTCCCTGCCATATCCTGATGCTAATCGAGTGTAAAGTTCAGTTCACCCTATAAACAAAGGCATCGCCGAGACACAACACGTGGAGACCGCCCCCTCTCTCTGCCTGCCAGTCATTGTTTAAAATTCCGTTGTTCCTGTGAGACATAAAACCAAGGACTTTGCAACCTGTGATCTTCAGGGATGCACTTTCCCTAACAGGATGGCTTCTTAGCTGCAGTGTTGGCCTTCCCAGTTTCCTCTCTGTTTCACTGGGATGTGGGACTCTTCTGTCCTTTGCCCTTATGTGAACAGTTAAACAGCTGCTGTGTGTTGCACCCCAGAGGTGGCTGCATTTCAGTAGTAGAAAAAATTATCTCCATCCTGACGTGCATAGCGGGAATGGGCAATTTACTCAACTTGAGAAAGAGCTCTGTGAAGCTCAAAAGCGTGTCTCTTCCACCAACAGAAATTGTTCCAATACAAGATATTACCTCCTCCACCTTGTCTCTCTGATTTCCTCAAATTAAGTAGTCCTAATGGATCTACTTTTGGGAATAAAAATTGCTGGGGAGGTATCTGCAGCATCAAGCCCTTAATTTGTTTTGGGGCCCGATGCGCAGTATTGCTGTAAACAGAATTCCTACAGAAAGAAGTGCACGTTTTGTTTGGATTAGGGACTACAACATCAGGCCTTAGATTTCTAAAGTGTTTTAGGATTCCTGGTGATGAGGAGAGCCATATACATATAAATAAAAAGTAATTATAATGAGAGTAAATGCTTCCTTAAGTACAAAAATAAGCTTTAAAAAGAACCAAGGTATCAAAGTAATACAAAATGCATAAAGTTTGAAAAAGTAAATACAGATTACTAAATAAAAGGAGAAGTAACTGTTTAATCTGAGTGCCTGGGCCATCGGAAGGAAAGGAGTCCTGGTGCATACCTGTACCTGGGCATGTGAAGGATGGAAGTGAAAGAGGAATGAGAGGCAGTGGCAGTAGATAGGGCACTGGGCCAGGAGTCAGGAGACCTTGTTCTGCCATTGACCTGTTGGGCAAGTCACTTCAGCCCAGGTGGTCAAGGATCTTTAGGTGCATAATTGCCATGGGGGTGAGGCACCTACATACTTCTGCAGATGTGGGGCCTTCTCCTCTGCGTGTCTCTGTTCTCCTCCTGCGAAGACTCTCTTGACGTAGGCACAGTGCCCTCCAGAGCTTGAGCTTGGGTGAAGCTTGTAAGTGGTATTGTAAAAATAATCTGTAAGAGTGGTCAGCATCCTTTACAGGATTAGCCCTTCAAACCGAAACTACAGAGGTGAATTGTCTTTTAAATAGTGAGAAATGTACAAACTGGAAACCTTCTGAAACAGGTTTGCCCTTTTCATTGTTCACTAGGGGAGATAACTCACCAGGCAAACACATACACAGAACAATCAAATGAGGAGCAGAAGGCGTTTTTTTCCCCATACCCTTCACAGTTTCACTCTGTCTGTTACAGTGGCTGGTGATGTCTCCTGCACCAAGACCTGCCAAGTTCCTGGTACTTTGTCAGAACAAGCTTCCTGTGTTGGGAAGAAGCTCAAGAGTTAGGACATAGGAGATGCCATGGCCCATTGGAATGCCTAGGCAAAGAAGTCATTCAAAGGTGTGGTAAGAGATGTTCTACTCTTTGAAAAAAGAATCTAACCTCCCTTTTCTCATTCATTTGCATCATGAACTGCATTGGACTCATTAACCTAGGCTTTCAAGCCAGCAGCTTCCTATTTGAGTGCTAATTATTTATTATAAGCTCTTTAGGCCAGGGACAGTCATTTACTGTATGTTTCTATAACACCTAGCCCAAAGGGCTCTGGGTCTGGTTGGTCAGTAGCATTGCAACAATTTAAGTGTTTCTTCTTCATCATCATCATCATCATGTATTTCACGATTATTTTGCCATTATTTTCTCTCCTTTGTAAATCTATGTAGTGATCAGACTCTCTTGTATATTATGCTGGCATTTTCCTTTACCCTAGTTTATATTTGGAAATAATTATAATTCTGCTATGTCTCTACTGCAAGGGCTGTGATTTGCAGCTCCTGAATACATATCTGTTCTGGCTTTAGTTTGGCTAGCTTGATAAAATCACAGAACAAGGTGGCATTGGCGGCAGTGGGAGCTAGCAGTGACTAGAGGGGTCAGGCAGCCTCTTACAGCCTACACCGCTGCATCCTTCTTGTTGTTTTTAATGAGCTAGCTAGATAGCTGTAGCTCACGAAAGCTCATGCTCAAATAAATTGGTTAGTCTCTAAGGTGCCACAAGTACTCCTTTTCTTTTAGCTAGATTAAAGCCAGCGCAGATACATCCAAATGGGCTGCAAATTACACGTCCGGTTAAAGTGTAGACATAACCTTATTCAGCTCCCAGAAGTATCCGGGGACTTCACTGATGTCTCTGATGACAGCTGCTAGTGAAAGCAAAGCGTGACTGTACCTGATCAATGTCTAGCATGCAGCAGAACAAGAGATGAGGGAGGAAGGATGGTCTTGTGGATAAGGAACAGGACTAGGAATTGGGAGGTTGACTGTTATTTATCATTTGTTTGTGGTAGCTCTCGTAATGTGCTAAGCATCTTGCGGACACCCAAGAAGGGAAGATCCCTGCCCTGAGAAGCTTATCGTATAACCATGGGTTGAATTGAGGATGTACTCCTTCAATTTTAGCTTATAAAGAATTATATTAGAAATTACTGTATCGATTGCATTTGACTCCAGTTACAATCCATCATATTTTTGCTACTAGCGAGATGCTCTGTTGGAGGGATTGTTGGGAAAGGGGAACATACTTGCTCATGTGATGGTTGTGTCCATAAATTAGTCAGTTTCAGTAGGAAATTATTAAAGAGATTCACCTTATAACAAAATGCCAGCTTCCCAGAGATCCCCTAGGGTGACCAGACAGCAAGTGTGAAAATCGGGACAGGGGGCGGGGGGGAATAGGCGCCTATATAAGACAATGCCCCAAATATCGGGACTGTCCATATAAAATCGGGACATCTGGTCACCTACCCGACCCTAATCCTCCAGTAAAGGAGCTACATTTTAAACAGAACTACAAATTAATTTCTTTTTTTATTGTTAGCCACGAGAGTTTGTATTGCCAAAATGTGACTTCTCCTCCTATTGAACTGTGGTATAGTAAAATATGGACTGTGCTTGTAATGGCAAAGCTTTCACACCAAGTACGCACACAAGTGCCAAAAAGGTACATCTCTCCCACCAGCAGAAGTTGGTCCAAAAAGAGATATTACCTCACCCGCCTTGTCTCTCTCAAAAAGAGGACTGGTATTTAGAAATTTGGTCACCCTTTTTAGCATACTCAGAGGAGGAGGGCTTCCCAGCCAGCAAGCCAGAATCTTTAGCCAGGTTATTTGAATATTAACCTGAACCTGAATAAGTAATGTACAATGTAGTATGGAAACATTATATTGTAACTCTACATTGATAAAAAGTTTCCAACCCCCCCTCCCCAACTATGGGCTGTGTTACGTCCAAGTCCCTGTCCCGGTTTGGGCCTCAGTTTCCGCATCTGTACAATGGGAATGATCCACTCATCCACCTCCCCAGGGGAGGTATGTGGCTGAATTCATTGATGTTTGGGCAGTGCTCTGTGAACTTCAGACAGGAAGTGCTAGAGAAGGGCAGACAGTGATAAAGGTGACTCCAAAGAGTGACTCTGCACTGTGTCTGAACTTGATTTTCATGGTTCAGTCTTGCAGTCCTGCCGTGCAAGACAATTAGACCTGAATTCATGCCAAGCATCATCTAGTTGCATCAGTAATTGGAATTATTTACTCATTTACTCTCAAATCCATTCCTGCCTTGAGCTGTCTAGGCATAAGTTACAGAGGTTTTAGAGGATAACTGTTAGTGAACTATCCCCATTTGTGAGCTGGGCTCCGCAAGTTCTAAGAGCTGCCACCCTTGGAAGCGCTTATGACTTATGTCTCTAATTCCTCACTGAAGTGGCTGTAGCCTTCTGCCTGCAGACTGTAGGTAACACGTCATTAGGCAATAGGCACGATTTTGCTGATCCGTCTGACCAGTACTTTGCAGGAGCTGCTGGCAGAAAGCCAAGCATATGGGGTGGCTCTTTCCCAAGGTAAGGAGGGCTTCTGCATGGAGCATATAGAAGATTTGTGTGTTGGTGGGGAGAGGGGGGAAGTTCCTTGTCTGCTGAACAAAATGGCCAGGAGGATCTGGAGGAGGAGCATTGAAAGGACTGGAAGCTCCATCGCAAGGACTTGCCAGGTTGGGAAAGACAGGTGCTCCCTTTGCTCTGCTCTTCTGTTTCCTACAGCTGCTTTAGAGGAATATGCAACCCCTTACTCCCAAGGCACCTCACTGTACGCCCCTAGTGAGCACACTGAACAGGTGCCTAGCACCACGCTTGTCACTCTCAAGCTGTGTCTGCACTAGCCGTCAGTCCCCACCATTGCGATAAGGTGCTGGTAGCCACCTTGAGCCAGAGTCATCCTGTACTCCTGGCTCAGGCACTGGCATAGGGACAGAGGGGAGGCAGTGTATGCCTCTGGGCTGCAGGGGCCAGTGTGGCCTTTGGGGCAGGTGTGGGCAGCCCTCCCCCCACTCTGGCCTGCTCCAGAATGCTCCCTGCACCCAGCAGTCCTGCAGAGGTCCCCCGGCACTGGGCATATTCCTTAGGAGGCCTGTGTGCCGGCCCTATTGCCCCTCTGCACCAGCCTACATGCAAAGGGCCATAGGCTAATGATAAATTGTCACCAAGAGCTGCTCTGAGCCAGGCCAGACAACCCAATGGAGCCCTTGTCCACACTAGCTCTTCCACCAGCAAAGCTGCCACGTTTTAGGAGAAAAGACTCGTGAAGGCAAGACCCTAGAAAACTCCAATTAGTGTGAAGTCTGTTGTACCAGTTGGGGAGGTGAGAGCCAATGACATGCTCAAGGTCTGCGTGAGTCAGCGGCAGAGCCAGGAACAGAACCCAGGAGTCCTAACTCCCAGCTACCTGCTCTCCCCACTCTACATGCTGTGTTCTCACAGGGAGGAGAGTGA